ATACATTGAGGAATTCATATAATTAAATATTTATTATTTATTTCATTAGTACTAAGTACCAACTACCAAGTATTCAATATGAGTGAGGTATGGCAAGTATTTAGTAAAGACGATGTTGGTCTTAAAGTGAAATGCTCAATATGTAAAAAGGAATATGCAAATTAATTAATATTATTATTGAACAAGAACTTGGACTCACAAGTTTCTTGCGAACATATAAAAATGGTGGATATAAAAATTTGGCTTTTTAAGAATCAGACATTATCGTGTTAAAAAACCTAAGTTGTATTATACAGCCAATCAAGGAAATAACTGATAATTTAGCTGGCGATTCATATGTCACGGGCTCGGCTATACTACCAGTTATTTTTTCGCTTAAATCAAAATTATCTCAAATAACACAACTAAATGAAAGTGATAATACGGACATCAATGGAGGACAAATTAAAAACATGTATACAACTATTATTGTGGTTCTAGATCAACGCTATCAAGATAACGCATTACTGATTATGTGTACCGTATTGGATCCTAGGTTCAAAATCGAATACATTAAGTATAATGATTTATCGGTTTTAAAGAAAACCATCGCTGAATTTTGTGAAACAACATACGAGCGTATCGAAAGTGATAGTTAGGTCAACAATATTTCTAATCAACTGGCATCACAAAAAAAACCGAAAACTGGGTTGTCTGTAATTTTTGGTACTCCTGAAAATAATAATATGGATAATTTTCAAGTAAGAATTTGAAGATAAATTATTTTACTTTATTGTTACTACTTTTTTAATTTTATCATTGTAGGAAGTTCCATTAAGCCATAAAATAAAAAATGAATTGGACTTATACATTAACAATCCAAAAATTGGTGTTGAATAAGATCCACTAGATTGGTGGAACATAAACAAGACAACTTACCCTATTATGTTCGTTTCAGCAAAAAAAGTTATGACCATTCAAGCTACAAGCGTAGCATCTGAACGTATTTTTAGTAAAGGGGGATGTATATTAACTGATCATAGATCATCGTTAACTAACAAACATGCCAGTCAGCTTATTTTTTTAACTATGAATAAGGACTATATAGCTAAACCAGTGTTTTAAATATTATTTTATTTTAATTTAACTTCAAGATTAAGACTGACCCTTAAAGTAAACGGCAGTTCATATTTGTTGTATTAGTTTATTTTATGTTTTTATGAATAAATCGTTTAAACCAGACTATTTATTTGATTACTAATATTGGTAAATTATTATTATTAGAACACTAATATATTGTGTAGTATAAGTATGATTATTCGATTATTCGTCATTTCGGATAAAAATCGTAATACTCTCAGATTATTCGATTAATCGATTTTAACTAATATTCGATTATTGTGGGGAAAAAAATAATCGCGCAGTCCTAGTCTGTATACTGGAGTTTGTTTCTTCTGGTATTTCTATATCCTATAATACGTCAGCAGTTATATACTTCTCACTATCCGGTTCACAGTTATTACATGTTGTAGAACATTTCATTAGGCTATATGAACAAATATGGCCAAAACAACAACGAAAAGTTCTAGTAGTTGGATTTCTGTTATACCTAGAAATATCTATAACAAAATTTTTATAAATACATTGATTTTTAATGAAAAACTAATTTTTAAAATACATTTAGGTATAGCTTGATAGGTACCATAAATTATATCGGAATATATTTTTGTTAGTTTCTCATTATAAAAATAAAAAGCATGTTTTACAATAATAACTGTAAAACTAAAGTTGTTGCAAGTATACCTAATAATTATTGCTTATACATAATTGATAATTATGCAAATATAATTTATAAAAACAACTGATAACTATCATTAATTACATAATTTGTATACATACCCATTATTTTGTCGTATTATCGAAAATAAATTCTCCAGAGGATCTTGCGTTAGCTTATGGTCATTAAAAAATAATCATCTTCTGTATAACAATGTTTTTCATCTATTTTTTCATTTTCGTATAGTTGGAAAATCGCAGATACAGTCCATATTACCCCAGTGATACAAGGAGGCACACTAGATTTGTTTGTTTTGTGACATATTTTGACCGCATTCTGAAATAATTTTTTAGCTGTATTTAAATATTCCAATACTTGTGGGTTTTGACTACTAATTGGTCTCCGGTTTGGATTGAGATCATATAGAGTTTTTAGGCATTGCACGTAATTTGTTCTTAATATCAATTTCATGTTTTTATTATGTTTTTCATAGATACAAGTTTGGTATTATCAAATTTGAAATCACCGTTCACTAAATTGTTTCGTACACTTTTTATAAGGTGAGGTAAATCATAAATCAAAAATATTTTTGTCCAGATATTATTGTGTGTGGATTTTCTTCGGTCCTTTTAAGAAGTGTGTACATTCGACGTTTTTGAGTACCTTGATCACAAACTATGCAAGTGGCCATCAAACCCAAATCAATAATTTTTTTTACGCACTCTTTTATATTAAGAACCAGATTATCGCCTTCAATACCACTTCCCGTAAAAAAATAACGAAGAGGAAACTTCCAATTTGCATAAAGACCACGTAGCATAACGACCAAAGCATGAGAACAAATTTTTTCACTTCGGCCTAAAGTTCCTATATCTTCAAATCCTTGCTTTGGCCATCATCGTCAGTGGTTCTCCATTATCAATGACTGAGCACCCACTTTGGATTTACTTTTTTAGGCAAATTCAACCAACCTTTAAACTACCTTGTCGAAAATCTATATCTACAGTTTATTTGGATAAAGTGTATGCTGAAATGCAGAGTAGTATTACTCATGATCTTCTTGAGGCAAATGATTTACATATTCAACTGGATGGATGGACCAATATAAATAATGATGGCATAATTAACTTTGTTATTTGTAAACCAAAACCATTGTTTGTCAAATTTCTGAACACCAAAGATAACCGTCATACTGCTGAATATTTAAAAAACCGAATTTTTGAAATAATTGAAACATATGGTAAGGAAAATTTTTTTGTCATTATAGGGGATAATGCTGCTAATGTTAAGAAATCATTTGAACTGGTAAAAAATGTGTATAAAGGGATTCAACCACTCGGATGTGCAGCCTATGGTTTACATCTCTTATGTTCTGATATTTTTAAAGTAAATTCAGTTAGTGAATTCTTGAAACAAAACTCTAGTATTGTTCGTTCTATAAAAATATCACAATTATTATCTTCTGTCTTCAAAAAACACCAACAAATTAAAGGCATTAATGTTCAATTGAAATTGCCTGTCAAAACCCGTTGGGGGAGCTTTCTATTTTGTTTGGAAAGTTTGATGAAAAATAAAAGTGTTTTACAGGCCTTGGCAGTCGATAACACTATTCCAATTTCATTATTAAGACCTATCAAATTGACATTACTTGATGATTCTAAATTTTGAGAAAATGTTTTAAAAATGATAAATTTATTAACCCCAATAGTAAATGCAATTACAGTCTTAGAATCAAATCATAATCTTATCCATAGAGTTAGAAGTCTGTTAAATGATGTGGAGAAAAAAGTTGAAGCATGTTTTTCGTCTTCAATCACAAATTCTCTTTTTTCTATTTCTGAGGAACTGAATATAATGAATAATGTTGCAAAAAGAAAAATCTTTATTCTTGGAAAAATTCATTTAGCTGCTGAATTGCTGGACCCTAAATCACAAGGACTAGAATTAAATGCAGATGAACGTGTTGATGCTTTACAATTTATATATAATTTAGAAGTTGAAATGAAAATAGATATTGTTACGTGCCAACCGTTTGATCCGTTAATTCAGTTACAACGTCTCAGTCAACGCTTGTGTGGAAGTGTAGTCAGGAATAATTAAGACTTCTTTTTAAAATAATTAAATATATTTAACTTATAAAAATTATTCTAACTACAAATTTTGTAAATATTCTAGTGATAGAAATTATTTAAGTCCTAACAATTGTACTTATAAAATAATTGGAAATATTTCTAAGTCCAGACCATAACATACACTGACGTGAAGGTGCTCAGTGCAGCATAGACAAGACTCGTCTGATTTGCCCTTGTTTTCGGGTCCCTTTTATATGTGATATTGTATGTGTGTGTGTAAAATCCCAAATGTGTGTGTGTAAATGAATAAGATAATAAAATAAGATAATTTCCTATAAATTGTGAGTGTGTGCGCGTTATCTCCAGACCGTGACATAATTATTGACGCAAATGCCCAGGATGTGGTCACCACATCATTCCGATAAACTATTTTATTTCAATTTCCCAGAAAAACGTTTATGTGAACCCTTTCACTCGTGATTTCGATATTCTAATTCCTTATTGTAATCTCTAGTGTAATAACCACGTGAACACAATAATCTAACTTATCCATAGTTGTGGTTTTTGATGTACATGGGAACCTCCTTGTGATGTTGTGATGTGTTTTACCGTGTGACTACGCGGGACGCGACAATATAATATAATAGATCTCTCAGATTATCAATCAAAGCAAGGATATTTTGCTAAAAAATTTATTTGGGAAAATTCTTTGATTACTGATCCAGTAAAGCGGTGAAAATTCTTAGATCACATATCCCCATTATCTAAAGTTGCAGTAAGAATATTAACTGCTCCTTGTACTTCTGCTGCTACTGAACGAACATTCAGAACTTTTTCTTGGTTACATAGCAAAAAAAGAAATAGATTAACTACAGAGAGATCTGGGAAATTGACATATTTATCATACAATTGGAAGCTAAAAAATAAAAAAAGTGAAATTTCCAAAAATACAGAAGCAAATAACTGTGAAGAATCTTCTGTAGTTATACAAGAAATACAAAATTCATCGAGTTCTTTTAACTCTGAAAAAAAACGATGAAAATATGATTATCTCAAAAAGTGATTCAGACAGTGATTGTGATTCTGATTCAGAAACATCTATTTTATATAATGATACCAGTAGTGATGAAAACTCAGTTTCATGTTCAAAAAAAGAAGATGAGGATAATTATTAATTATTATTTTGTCATGCATTTTATATTTTGTTTATATTATAACAGCAAAGAGCTAATGGACATTTTATTTTGTTATGTTTAATTTTTATTCAGATTATAGAAATTTGTATTTCTTTATTATGCATTTTACATTTTGTTTGTATTATATTTAACAAGGAGCTAATGAACAATTTATTTTGTTATGTTTTGTATGTATTTGGATTAAATAAATACATTTATATGTATTATTTTACGAGTATATTTTCTTTTAGATAATATAACAACAGTAAGCTTATGAAAATTTTATTTTTTTTTTAGTTATAAAAATATTTCTTTTTTTTTATTAATAATATGATATTTTGAAAAAAAAAAATGTAGTCAATTTTCCACTTAAAATGTATTTAATTAAATATGGGTAAAACATTATGTTTTTATAAAATATCGCCTAAAATAAAAGGTAAGAATTGTTACAATTTACAACTTAAGATAAATAAGATTATTTACCTATCTATCTTAATATTAATCAAAGGATTGTATTTTTTATTTTTTACTAAGAGAATTTTGTTGATTTTGTTATGTTTTATACTTTTATACCATGATAATGTATGTTATAAAAATTATAATTTGTTTTTATTTTATTTTAATTAATTAAAGCGTTAACACTACATAAGTTTTTAGCCTGATCTATCTTAATATTTAATTACAAATTACAAGTAACATATTTTTTTTAGTTACATTATATTGGTAAATGGTTTTACAATTTATTTAACATTGAAATAAAATAGAAAAAACGCAATTAAAAATAAATACCCAAAATACCAGGTATTTATTTTAAATACCGGGTAAATGGGGTTTCATCGATTCCGCCAGACCTTTTTATACTTGGGTACAAGGCTTATCGATTCCGCCAGGGAAAAAATAATCTTCCCGAACATTTTAGTTTTATTTTACTTACATAGCTATAGGTATTATAAATATTATATGAAATACCTGTATAAAATTGTTATCGCCAATTGATGATAATCTAACTTGTAATGATGTGAAAAACGACTAATAGTATTGTCCTACGCTAATCTGGTTAGTCTCAATTTATCATCGTGTCATTATACTTCGCAATAATGAATTTCGAAATCGTAGCTGGTGAACGAGAAAATGACTTAGTTATTTATCAAAATGAAAAATTTTTTAAAACAAACTTTGTGAAATATTTATGTGCGTATAAGTGGAAATGTGTTAATAAAAAGTGTAACGCAAAAATATACATTAACGAATCCTTAACGGAAATTTTAAAATATGATATTGACCACAAAAATCACGATAAACAGCCAATAAATGTATTGAAAAAAAAACTATTTTCAAACCAGCTTAAGAGAAAACTTACAGATGTAACAGAAAGTCCTTCAAAAATTATAAATCGTGAAATACTAAAAAATCCTCAAATTGAAAATATCATGGAAAATGACTATGTTGACAATATCAAACAATGTATACATCGAGAACGTAGAAAACTCATACCTTAACTTCCGAAAAATCTTATTGAAGTCATTGAAGCTATGAATAATCGTGAAATAAGGACTGTTGAAGGTGAGTCATTTTTAATACATACAGATTTGGTGAACAATATGATGTGTTTTTCTACAGACAGTAATCTAAAGGCTCTAAGCTCGTCTAATACAATATTTGTTGATGGTACATTTTCTTCGTGTCCTATGTTTTTTTATCAACTTTTTACAATCCATGTAAATATAAATGGGCATTATGTTCCATTATTGGACAGTTGAACAGTGAACATGTTACGGCGTTATTTATTTTTATTTAAATACAAGTGACTAGTAAAAAACTTATTTTATACCTACTTAATATCTTCGGTTTATTTATTTCAATTTTGATCTAATTCGTGAATTTTATCATTATGTCTAAAGTTAATAAATCTCCTATTCCTAATTTGCCTAGCAAAAATGAACCCACATTAACTGATATTATGAAAATATTAAAATCTCAGGATAATAAACTGAGCACAATATCTTCTAAATTAATTATTAATGAAAATAAAACTGATGTTATCACGATCAAACTAGAGGAACTTACTTCAGATATCGCTAAATTAAGAAAAGAAAACGAGGAACTTGAAACACAAATCGACACCTTGCGTACACGTGTTAACGTTTTGGATACATCTACAAATAATAGAAATAGTAAAGATCTAGATCTACAAACCATACTCCTAGAAGTACATGAACGTACGGAAAAGTCGAATAATATTATTATTTTCAATGTTGAAGAAGAGCTTACTAATAGTGAGACCAATCCTGTTAATCGTGCTGATACTATTCTTAAGGAACTTGATTTAAATATTTCAATTGTACATACAGCTCGATTAGGAAAAATGTCTTCGAAACCACGTCCTTTAATGGGTAAATTAAAAAGTACATCGGAAGTTATGTCTGTTCTAAAAGCGAAGAGGAAATTACGTTCAATTGATTCACTTAAACATATATTTATCGGTACTGATTTAACGACACTACAACGCACACATTTCAACGATATCAAACACCAATTAGAGGAAAAGCGTAAATTAGGCGAAGACGGATGGTTCATCAAATACATCAATGGTACCCCCACTCTGGCGAAAAAAAACTCAGGAAAGTAGCTGCGTTCGCAGCTATACAACATCGTAATATAGTAAATATCCATCATTATAATAATGTAAATAATTTTAATCATAATTATGTAAATACTTGTCACAAAAAATCCATTAATAATTTAATAGGTTATTACCAAAATGTAAGAAGTCTAAATAATAAACTTCGATGTTTAACGTGTAATGTCCCATACAATAGTTATGATTTTCTAATTTTAACAGAAACTTGGTTAAAAGCCGATGTGTTAGACTCTGAACTTGGTCTCTATAATTATAATACTTTTAGATACGATAGAAATGTTCTTACGAGTAAGAGAGGTCGTGGTGGAGGAGTCTTAATATCTATACATAATAAATATGCCTGTGAATTAATCAGCATTCCATATGAATCAGTCGAACTGGTATTCGTATCTGTCAGTATTAATAATAAGAAACTCATTATCGGTGCTTGTTACATCCCAGAGACCAGTCCTTTATCTGTATACGAAATGCACGTAGATACGGTTAATTGGTTATTTACAAAATTTGGTGATAACCTAGATATAATTATTGGGGGGGACTATAACTTTCCTAATACGTTCTTTTCACATGACCACACCGGTCTAATTGTAAACGGACTTCGATCTTCGATTTTCTGAACATATATCATATATTCATAATAAAGCGATGCGCATGTTAGGGTTTATTAGGAGACAATGTTGGAACTTCATTAATATTCAATGTCTCAGAACTTTGTATTGTTCGCTAGTTCGATCAAATATTGAGTATGGGTCCATATTATGGAACCCATCGCAATCTGGT